CAGATCTTACGTAAATTTAATACAGAACTATATTTGATGTATCATTTATTTATTTTTGGAGCTACCCCCGCACTGCAAGGGTTAAGTGCTTGTTTGTGTCTAGGTTAAAGAAAAAAGTTATACTCCCTCACTCCTGGAGACTGGTCCCCTCCCTCTTCCTCTCTCCCCCTCCACTATAGCGGTCTAAGGATCTTCATGTCATTGTGTTCTATACAAGTGCAACTACAGCAGAGGAGGAGACAGGCTGGAGGGAGCGCTGTCACAGCTGGCCTGCTCTAAGGTTTAGGTGAGTATAACTTTATTTTTTTAATCCTAGGCACAAACACTTTGATCCCTTTCAGTTTGAGGGTAGCCCTGCTGCAAAGGTTAAGAATTTTTTCCCCCGGAGTTATTCTTCTTGTGCAGCATATGTTGTAACATATGTATATCAACAGTCCAAGTCATGCCATACCTGTCAGACCTAAAGCAGAAATTATAAAGGGTCTATTTGTCAAATGTTTTCACAAAGGATTCAGCCAACTTTCACCATCACATATTTTTGACCTAAAATTCAATTGGAAAAGTGAGTGTTTATATTTGACACTTTTTATTGTATCAGTATTTTTTAAAAGCAGAGCTCCTGGATAACCGTTCAATACACAGTTGAAACACATATGTGAATTGTTTTACTTGCCAAAGCAATTGTAATTCTGTTTAACCAGTCTTATGATTCACACAAAGCTCTGTACACTTATTTCCTCGGTCAGATTTGCAGTATGATGCTTTAAATCTCTATTTCAGTTTGCTCATTGCCCAGTTAGTAATCATTATCTCTGTCCACTGAGCAAGATTTAAAGTGACATTAAACCCTCAGATCTTTTAACATAAACCAATACTGTAATGTGTGCCTTACTGTAATCCATGGTAGTTTCCCTTCTCTTTGCTGCTCTTCCTTTTTAAATCTGTATCTCTTCTCATGCTTGGGGAGAACTTCCCTTTGCAGCTGAGTGCCTCTTCCTGTAGTGCTGGCTCAGGTTGTGAACCTTCACACAGACACCATGTATCCATTTCAGAGACAAGGCAGTCTGCTGCAAATCAGAAGTTCTGCCCAGCAAGAGAACAGATACAGATTTAAAAGGAAGAGCAGCAAAGAGTAGGGAAACAACCATGGATTACAGTAAGGCACACATTACAGTATTGTTTTATGTTAAAAAATCTGAGGGTTTAATGTCACTTTAAGAAAGGAATCAGTAAAGTTGAATCTACTAGGAAGTGCGGTGTTGAAGAGGCATGTAAGTCACAAATACAACTGAATGGAAGTACAGATCTATTGGCAGGCAACACATCTTTGGGTAATTCAACAGTGTATTTAGCAGCTTGCTTAGTGTTCCCCTTTATGTGAAAGCAGCATAAGATATAAATTATGTGCTGCTTTCATGTAAACGGGAACTGTTGTTTGCTTAAAAAAGACAATTAAAAAAGTCTGTAGAACAGGAATTTCAATCTAATGGTGTGAAACTGCCACGTTTATTTAATTTATTGTTAGAGTTCCGTATGTAGAACACACACAGCTATATTTATCATAGTGCAAGATTGATTGACTTGGTTACATTTATTATTTTTGATATTTGCCTCGTCAATGTGACAAAGGTTGATACAGGTAAAAAAAGCAATAGCCATTTGATATCAAAGCACTTGGACACATTTTAATATATTTGAACTAGATGATAAGCATTACATTAATTACAGAAGGTATATAATGTTTAAGGGTATATTTGGATTGGTTATCTATGAGCAGCCTTATCAGCTCTGATCAAGGAAAACACTTCATTTCGAAGTCCTAGTGCTTGACTTTTATAAAAAGAAACATCTATTTCAATGATGTAAGTGTATATGTTCATATAGTTGATGCATATTTTTAGAAAATTTGTAGTACCATTCAAGTCAATATGTTTTTTTATTCCTTATTGGTCAGAATGGGGAATTTCGGGTTTTTATTTAGGACTGGATGCTCGGAGAATTTCCCTAACATGTAGACTGCATTAAAAACTGGAGCGCTATTATAACCCTTCCTAATTCTATCTAATATGGATCAGTTGCTTTCCTAGGTCTCTAGGAGGTCCAATAAGAACTGTATTAGCATATTATCAACTATCCGGTTCCATTACCAATAGCCCTGACAGGACCCCATGGCAGATCTGTATAGATAGAGGTATTAGGGCCTGTGGCAAAACCTATTCAAGTTTTATTGATGTCGTAGCTTGTTTTGAAAAGGCTAAATGCTTCTGGAAATAAGGTTTATACTCCTTTAGGTTGAAGCATAATCCTCTTTGACATACTTATTTATCAAACTTCAAGAAGTGAGATGTTCACCTTAATGTACAAACCTGTAGTGTAAAGATGACAGTGATAATCTGACTTCACAGAAGCATTTTATTTTAATACACTTGTGTGCATAAGAACTGCTGACAATTCTCACCAACTGGCAAGAACAGTCAAGGGCAATTACAGGTCTGTTTGATGGCTGTGATGGTTATATAGTTTAGTGCTCCTCACCACTTGAGTTAATAAGGTCTGCTGTCAATTCAGCCATGTGTATGTGCACTGCATATTATACACTGTAAGATCTCAGCACCTCATACAGGGAATATGCAGCACAAGGACAAATGACTCTATTAGGCCTATTGCACGAAGCCAATTGAATTAAATTGGAACTGTGTTCTTTGTAGTGGACATCTGTATTTGCATATTATATATGCAGGTTCAGCTTTCTAGTTGTTCCTTGCTGATTCTTTTATCTCACTGCTAGTCAGCTGGGCAGGGTCTGTATGTTTCAAAAGAACTTACCTAAGGACACGAAGAGCCTGCTCTTGGTAGCCGGAGACCATGTGATCTTTGCCTATACTTTAGGTCACACAAGAGTGGCCTGGACCAGCTTTATGGCAAGGAAGAAGCACTTTGTTCACTTAAATTTGTGATTTGGTTTGGTAATGCTGACGTACCCTATCAATTTATGTTAAGTGTGATCTTTATTGATATATCCAGTTGAAATATATACTGTAGAAGCCTATCCAAGTGTTTGGCACCTCATTTTCAGGGGAAAAGGAAATGACTAGCCCACAATCATGGAGATCTGGAAAGAAAACTTAAATTTGTACTATATGCGCCCCTCGTTAAATCACACAGAGCAAGCCTGGCTTAGTAAATGTCTGTATATTATTGCCAAATGGTACTTTCTGAGTAGACTGTATGTGCCAACAGGAGGTAAATTAAGTCAATACACATTTCACACTGGCTTAGAGAGCTACAAGTAAGCCTTGTACAACAAATTACTTGATAGCTGAAGATTTGGAACCAAAACTAAAGTGACGTCAGTAGAACCATTTTGAAGTTTTTTTGAATAATCTATATCTTAGTCTAAAGTTTTTTTTTTTGCAGAAATATTATGCCAGTTTGTTCAGAGAAAGTGTGTCAATAATTTTATAATTTTAGTTTTTACTTATATTTTTCTGTATTATTGCTTTCCCATCACACATACATTTTACCGCACAAAATGTTTATTGTTACAGCAGTTACACTGAGCGCTTGCCATAAGTTTTCATTAACATCTTTCCTGTCCAGTGGAGCTTAAAATACAAATAATGTTTTTCTGTTCCATGGAGCTTAAAATATAAAACACTCTGAGAACTGAAAACTTACTAATGGCTTTAATACAACAAAATAATACTTTTCAGTTTGGTTGTTATGAGATTTGTGAAGTGGAAAAGACAGGAGTTTTGAATAAGGCAGTTAATGGTGTTGAGTTCTTAAAACTGGACAATTGACCTGTATGTAGATAAAGATCTATTTATTGTTAGAGGAACCAGTGTATAAAGTCATTCAGGGAATTTATTATGTTTGTGCATTTGCTGTATTAGTTATAACCAAATTGTGGCAAGCTGGCCATAAATTATGCAAATGTCAGTCCGTTCTTTAGTATCCAGCTGAAATTCACACAGTGGGTGCTGCTGTCGGCACCCTTTCAGCCGGCAGTGCTCGATCAGCTGATCTGAGTAGCTGCCTGGAAAATCTTCGAACAAACAGAACCGGTAACCGGTGAGCTGCCGGCTCTGTTGGGGTATTCTGACGGTAGCCGCCGGACGCTGTTAGAATACAAAGGAAACAGCAGGAGACTCCTTGACCAATGCTCATAAGCTCATTCAGCCCACGGTTGAACGAAAAAAAATAGAACAGTGTATTGGCCAACTTTTAGTTATGCAATAAATTAAGTATTTAAAAGTTATTGATTTTTGATTAGGATACATGGGTCAATTGCTCAATTCCTTGGCTCATAACACACACAAGGATGCCCCAGCCAATGCTCTTACACATATCACTGGCCCCAGTAATGTTAATTGCAGCACTGACAGACTAGTTCAGACCTACCTGAGCACTAAATCTAACCATACACTGTTAGGATGTTGGCTGATTTCTGTGAATCGGCTATAATGCTAACCGCCTGGCTTGGCAAACCTTACTGAGCGATTTATCACGCGGTAATTCCCGCGATATCGCGGCTATTTACCGCGCGATATCGCTCTCCAATGCTTGGCAATGGGGCAAAGGGTCCTGCTGTCGCGGGTCGTGCGTCGCTACAGCAGGACCCTTTTTGGAGCGGATTTTGCCGCGATTCTAGCTTGCTCAATGCAAGCATTTGCGCAATATCGCGCAAAATGCAAATCGTGCGATTTGCAAATCGCGCAGTGTGACTGGGGCCTTACTGAAAATCGAAAGAAGCCGGACAGAAAATTGTTGGCCAAACAGTGATGGCAGCCATTCAACTATAATCACTGTTCAGGTCTTCTGACAGTCCAAGGTGTCTGGAGGAAAGACTGTTAGCTACAATAAAAAGAGACTTTATTTGCTGCTTAAAGTGATATTAAAGTACAAAAAAATGAATCCTGGTAATCCTGTTTTTCATTGTAAGATCATGGTGACCTGTCAACTGTTGCTTAATGTTTTCTTGTCATGTTTCACTCCAGATCACTTGACACTGTGCTGAGCAGTGCTGTGCAAGCCCTTTCTGTGGTGGATTCCCATCTTGTTGAATTGGAAGGTGATACCTTGTGTCTGTATGGATTGGGAGCTCTGGAGTCTCTGGACAGGACGTGGAGTGTTCAAACAGCAGGCTCTGTCAACACCATCTGCTTCACCTTCGTAGATTTTGAGGATATAGTACAAGTGTTAACAAAAATAAGACTCAAACTTCCAAATATTGTGGTAAGAGTAAAAACTGGAAATATGGCAGATGTGACTGGATTTTTGTTCTTTGCAGAATCATTTAGAATCATTTTTTAAATTATTCCAATTTCCATTATTGAAATAATGGATAGAGTTTAAACCTGTATTGGAGAGTGTCCCATCACATTCCAAACCAACATATTGCAGTATATAGCTCCAATGGGTGCTGAAATGGCCAACAGATGGTGCCATACAACTAGAAGAAGTAATAAGGTCATCAGCACACCTAGGCCCATTTTACCGATTCATCTTTTATTCACATTAAGATAAACATGGTGTCACAATCGATCACAATGTTTTGGAACAACTTGCCGTCCCTTCATCAGGCAAAACAATGGACCTTAATTCTGGGATAAGCACATATTTTCTAAATACTATAGAAACATGTATTCCTACTTGAATCTTGATCTGCTTGTGTATTTCTTTCAGAACTGTGCAGTAATCCAGCATCCATTTTCTGTGTAGGAGCTTTCTGTTTTAAAGATCAGTCACTGCTGCTCTCTGCTTGTGCAGGGTGACTGGTCTTGTATCCGCCCCCTCATATAGCTTTCTGCAGGCAGTCTGTAGTGGGGGGACCTGCTGAACCCCTTCCACAGCTTTGCTTTATGTACAGGATATGAGCAGCACAGTGATGATGACCCTGCTACTTTTACAGGGTCATATTTGGCTTTCCAAATGCATTTGGTGCACACAAAGTGGATTTATATCCTTTGTGGATACAGAGGAATATATTTAAATGAAAGATTTTATTCAGCTTTAAGTCATAGAACAAATACAGTAGTCCATAGTAATTAATCAACACGCATTTTTCACTAACCTGACATCTAAAATTTACAACATCATTGTACATTGTACATCAATATTGCACTTTATTCTGTATAAACAAGACAAAATGCACTATGCATGAGCTATGCTGCATGTACTATGAATTAAAGGAGGCTTGAAAGAGAACTATCGGCAGATCTTTTCTTGGCGTTCGTTCTCTTTTGGATCACAGAAGGACATTTACTAGTGCCCCCCTGTGACCCAAAACTCTGCATATTGATATTGTTCGCTCTAGGCTAACAGCGCAGAGCCATGCTGCAGCCGGGAAGGATCCTGACAATATTGTCAGGCTCCACCCTGCTACTTTATTGACAGCTGGCTCTGCTTCTTAAAAGCCAGAGCCAGCTGTGCCAGCCCCCTTTCTACAGTCCCTAAAATCAGCGCTGGAGGAACTGAGAAGGGAGTAGGGGGGGATCCCTGCGGGGAGCGGTGACTGACGGTCACCGCTCTCTGCAGGGAGAAGATCATGAATTGAGCGATCAGCGGTATGTGATCACACAGTTTTCGATCTATAAAACCGATGTGTGGCGGCTGCAGTGTCACACATCAGCTCTAATTTTGGGGATGAGTGTATTTCACTCTCCTCATAGTTCTTCTTTAAACAATGTATTTGACCTATCAGTATGGTAAAAATTCTTACACTGAAGATAAATAGAATATTGCTTGCAACCAGCGTATGCAGCTCCCTGCCTTGCAGTGCAGCTTGGTAAATTGACGTCACCTTCTTCATCCTTTTACATGAAACATTCTTTCATAAAATTTAGCATCCCTGATTCCCTCTGGCCAAGTTTTATCTGATGTTTGCACAATTCAAATTGATGCTTAATCCAGCCCAAAGGAAATGGAATGTTGTCAGTAATTCGGAGTAAAAAGGCACAATCATGAGGAACCATAATGGGCCACGGCTGCCTTATAATGGTGAATTTCTGTAGAGTTGCTTTTTCTGGTTGCTGTATTCACTATACTGAACAGATTATACAGCAGATTTATGCCAGCCCCTTAGTTCATATATTGCTCTTTTCCTCACCAGTATGATTGTATGAAAATGAGCAGACATTAGAAGAGGCACCTTTTACAGAGATGCACAATTATAATGCAATTAGTGCCCAAGAAAATGTCTTCTTGCTGCTTTACTCATAATTACTGACATTATAATTCTGTTCTGCTGGATTAATGCATGTATTTATGCAGTGCAAACACCAAGGAAAGCAGTGGACTGGAGAGAGTTTTATGAATGGCTGTTTCCTGTGGCACTAAGGATAAGGACTGGAAGGATTAAGGGGAGGAAGCCTGGGAAGCTGACCATAATGCGCATGGGTTTTGATTAGATGTTTGTCCTTTTTAAATATAAGATTTTTCCAAATTCTCTTCTGACTTTTTTGCTATGTTATAGGACAACCAATGGGACTGTGCATGTTTACTTTTAAACTTGATGTTTGCCTTAATGCATTCTTTTGTGAATAGTAGATATCACCAGTAAAGTCACCAGTAGAAGTAATGTTCAACATTTTGGGGCCATGCATGAGCCCCTTTATCAGACAAAGTATCCCTGTCTGAAGGGGACCCTGCATGGCCCCAAAATGTTGAACACTTGCTTCCAATGGCTACCTTCTAATAAAGTCAAATTGAGAAACAATTTAGTGTGCTGTTGATATGCATTCTGTAGTTTAAAGCTGACAGCTCCATCTGTCTAATTACTACAGAACCCTCATAGCTGAACCTTGGATCTTAGTTCTTATTTAATGTGCAACTCAATATTCTTTTTCCATATATTGTGTAGGCTTTAACTTCTCAGCACTGCATTAATAAAATGTAGCCATTTTCAATATAAAGGGCACTATTCATGTACACAACCTATATCTAGCCAAATAGAAGAATATAGTTTCATTGTACCACAGTATTATGGACTGAAAATGGGGATTGAGGTGCATCATCTTGTACTGTATGCAGAAATGTAATTATGATAAATATATTGTGGCCTAGTCACTATTTAAAGAGTGTTTGTGAGGCACAAAATATTTACCAGACCAAACAGTGGCTGTGGACCATCACTACAAATGTCTACAGCATTTGAGTTTGATTTGTGCACAGTGAAAGGTTCATTCACTGTTAACTACGGAAAAGGATTGGTTGAACATCATTACATGGGATTTTCAAGCATGCTGAATCATTCATAATCTTAAGAGGAGCCTCACTTCTTGCCATATATACCGTACATTTAATCCCACTTAATGTTTGGCTTGGTTTCACTACTTGCCAATATTCTGTGTGACCAGCCTTTCTGAACTCTAATATGTATATAATGAAGGAAGGTGAAATCATTATAGCCATACCAAACTAAAAGTTATGCCTGTTTATTATTGAATAATGATAACCGTGACTATCTATATTAATAAGTTGTTTAAATCTCTATTTTCAGCACCTTAAATTTAAAGAAACAAATCTAACCACCTTGAATCAATTCAATGCATTAGCTCAGCTGCGTCGACTTGATCAGTTGACTGTGGATCCTCAGGGAAACCCTATAGTTAACTTCACTCTATGGAAGTATTATGTGCTGTTTCGATTGAACCACTTCAACATTCAGAAAATCAATGATGATGAGGTAAGGACGCTCGTACCACAGATGGATTCATGTTTATTACCAAATACCGGCATCTGATAAAGTACTCCATAGTCAATATGAATAAAGTGTTGCTCTTCTGCCAGGTTTTTTTTTTTTTATAAATTGCAGAAAGATTAGAACATCTGCCAGGTTTTTATTGTTCTCTGTTCCTGTAGTGTAGATTTCCCCTGAGGACAGTTGTCACTGAAAATGAGGTCAAATCCCTTCACCCAAATTTGTTAGAACAGGCAGTAAGGGAGAAACTTCCAGAGGGAAAACCTGCCCTAGTGACAACCGTGGGATTCCTGATTACTGTGGGGAAATTTCTTCGCATTCCTTGTTGTGCCACCTGGACAGCAAGTGAAAGGAAGTCTTGCCAGCAAGGATGCAGGCAGCAAAAAAGAAAACAACCCTTAGGCCTCATTCACACTGCTAAGAGTCGGCCTGTACATATCCGTGCTACATGCACGGCCGTATTGGGCCACTCCCGGGAAGGACAGGTGCTGTGTGTGATTGTACGCAGCAGCCTGTTCTTCTCTATGGGAGCACAAGGCCGTACGCTCACCCAAATTGCACATCCATGCTGGTGTCTCTGCCCGGACGCAGACAGGATTCATCCTGTCTGGCTACGAGTACGGACACCTGCACGGATGTGCAGTTCGGGTGAGCATATGGTGGCGTATTCCAATAGAGAAGAACAGGCTGCTGCGTACAGTCACACGCAGCACCTGTCATTCATGAGCCGATACGGCCGTGCACGCCGCACGTATCTGTATGGGCCAGCTCTTAGCAGGGTGAATGAGGCCTTAAAGTTGATGTTTCAGTTATGTTACAGAATTGTATGAATAAATTCCTGACATGTCACATTTATACAGCAACATTATATTTTTTTCAAAAAGGAATCTCTGCTGCAGAAAGCGTTTACTAGGACTCTCCCACAGTGATCAGACTGCAACATTGTAACATTGTAACAGGCATTGGTACTTTTTAAACTTAATTTTGCCATCTCTAAGCCAACATCCAGTAAGTAGATGCTGACCCTGAGGGCTTGTTCACACCAGCAGCCAAACTCAGCCACACAGCTGCTGGTGTGCGTGTATCCTGACCGTTTGGATGCGCTGGATCAAGCCACGTCACATGGTTTCTTTTTTTTATTGATCGAACTTTATTGAAATGTTACAAGTTCTGTGGGCTCACCGTGGTCCAATGAGACTGTACCGCATCTCACTGCTGTGTGTTTTAAATGCACACCAATGGAATGCACCACCCATGACAAGGCTGCACGAGAAAAAAATGGCCAGCGCAGTCGGAACGCAGATGGTGTAAACAAGCCCTGAATGATGTCTCAGCAAAGAAGGCATTATCCTTGTGGAGAGAAATGCTGATGGTGGCCACATTCACTAATGTGACCAGCTGTACACTGCGGCTGTGTATTCCGGGCACAAAAATGCGCCCACAATTTACATTCTACGGCCTAATGCACCTGTGTGTATGAGTCCTAAAAGTCATATGCTGTTACTCTAAATATACTGTTTTTAACTGCAAAATGTTTATTGTGCTCTTTGGCAGGTCACTCAGAATGATGTCATCATGTCTGAGAGGCTCTTTGGAATTCTTGCCTACATTGCATCATCAGAGTTACCGCAGTATAGGCTCGCTGCCCTGCTTGGTGATACCAGGTATATATTAATTGTCCCAGATGACTGTGTGTACTGGCTAGCTTGCCATGTAAGAGAAATTTTTACAACAAGCATTTTTAAAGCTTTGTTAGCTTCAATTTTCTTGAACTCTTTGAAGTACCATTCACTTCCAGTCTTAAAGGTTAAAGCTCAGTATACCGCGAGCTACAGCTCCCGGTATACTGAGACGCCGGAACGGATCCTGACTGTCGAGATTCACCCTGCTGCGGGATTGACAGCTGGCTCTGCCTATCCAGAGGCAGAGCCAGATGCACCCCCTCCCCCGTCCGTTCTGCCTGTCAGTGCTGGAGGACAGTCAAGGCTCTCTCCAGGGATAGATCGAGAAGTGAGCGAGCGACGGTATGTGTTCGCTCACTTCCCGATCTACTGAGCCGACCTGTGGCAGTTCCATTGTCACAGGTCGGCTCAGATTATGAGGCTGAGTGAAAATCACTCGCCTCATAATTCTCCTTTAAGGTAAAAAATGCCCAGTACCTTTCTGTGTCCCCTCCACACTTGCCTGTGAAGAGTACTGTCACCACTGCCGGCTCCTAAACTTCCTGGTTGTGGGGGAGGATACTAAGGGTAGAGGAGCCATAGGCTCCTTCTGCCATCAATCAGCCTGTTGGGCAGAGAGGAGGGGCATGGCCTGCCGCAGGGCTGTGTGTGTCTTTGGACGCACACAGCTACTGTGGGCACAGTTGGGAATGCGTACACACTGGTGCCTCCACAGCAGCCACTCATCTGATGGAGGCACCCATGCTGGTGATGGGGGCACCCACTAGAGAGCGAGGAATTGAAAACCTTTTTAAAAAAGAAACCAAAGGATATACATCCCACGCATATAAATAATAAAAAAAAAGTAAAGGTTTAATGCCACTTTAAAGGTTAGAACACATACAGTATTTTAATGGGGGTGTTGACTGTCCTTTTAAATTGACTTTTGGCAAGATTCAGAAGTCTTTCAGCAAGCTTCAAGCAGTCCTGAAGTTTGCTAAAAGCCTGCTGAAACCTCCTAATAGCTTGTATAAAGCGACAGCCAGCACTCCCATTAAGATATTACCCATCTCTCCCAGGCTGGAGCTCAAGGGTGTTTTAAAGGATTCAGGTATACTACTGGAAGCTTGTGAAAGGTTTTGTAAATGCTTGCTCTATATCAGGTTCTGCAGACCAGTGTGGTTTGCAAACATTTTTCATCAAATGCTTATGTTTGTCACAGACAGTCACCTCCAACTCTTAAATTAGGTTTTCCACTCCTCTCTGTCTCCGTTACAACGTTCACCAGAACAAATAGAGGAGTAATTCTCCCAGTGGCAATACAGACAGCAATAAAAACTTGGCAGGTAGTTTGACTATCTCCACTCTATCTAAATGTAAGAAAAACATTGCCTCTACGTACACTACCACTTCAGGACTGTCGTATGTATATAAATGGTGCAGTCCTGAAGTGGTTGTACCAAGAGCGCGGCTGCTGCAGCAGCGATGGATGTCGCATGCAAGGGTGCGGGCGGCTATAGAGCATGCATGGAGATAGGCCATTAATTACTCCCCCTGTTGATGCCAGCTATCCTGGGGTCCGTTGTCCCCTGTATGGGTCCAGGAGAGTCACAGCAATTTTGTGCACCTTGATCAGAAGAAGATCAGCACACTTGCAGTGGCTTATCTCCCCTCCAATCACTAAAACCAGAAGCTACGTATGTTACATCACCAGTTTCAGCCTGTCATTTCTCCAGCTGCTGTGGCTGGAGAACAAGCTGATGAAGCACGATCTGTGATTCATCAGTTTCTTTGGGGTCCATAGGTGACATTAGGTGTCTAATAGACTCCTGATGTCTCTATAAAGAGAAGCCATAATTTCCTATTTGCTATCACATAAGGGGCTTCTAAAGTAGGAGGTACTTTGAAGCACAAGTTCAGCTTTATTTAAAAGTCTCCTCAGCCTCCTCCCTAGCCCCTTCAATACATTCAGCTGTTCTACCTCCCTCGAAGATCCGTTTATAATTTCTCTGAAGAGAGGAGCGTGGTTGATGTTTGCTCATTATCTTTTACATGCTAAAGGACATATTTCTTGAGAAGAATATAAGGCCTGCCATTGCTAACCTTCTAATGAAAATACTAGTTACCTGGCAGTCTCTGAGGGTCACTGACCTAGAACAAGAGCGAACTCTTGATTTGGGTAACTGACTAAGAAGGAAAAGGATCACCTTCACATCCATTTATGACATAATTCCTATAATTCTTCCATGGCTTAATGACTCCAAATGATCCTTATATTCATCCTTATATAGCTGTGACCACCTGTCATCTGAAGATCTCTGTCCTCCCCTAAATGATCCCCTACATATTTTGTTTTACAATATTTTTACAACTTCTGCAGGAAAAAAACATTTCATCAACTCGGGGAAGGAAAGACAAAGAAGAGTCCCCTAGTAAGTGAAGAAAGTATTGACAGCAAGAAAGCTGGAGTGGAGACTCCAAGCAGAGCAACATTACAATACATTCCACAGGATCTGCTAAGTGAGAAGCTGGAGGTAATTAGCTAGATCGGTCTATAATAATATATATTGTTTCATATAGTTTCCCATACATCTTTGTTAAAATAAAGACCAGGGCTGTAAAGATTTTGGCTGCAAAATGTTTAACCCTTTAAAAGGATAGGGTGTCTTTCTTTTTGCATCACATCTGCTGAAAAACATGTGGCGTTCAGTTTAATCTTTTAACCACTTCTGGGCCGCAATACGTCTATAGACGGCGGCCCGCACAAGTGGTTAAAACAAGAACTTATTGGTACCGCTTTTAACAGCAGACGATTGCTGTTAATGTACAAGCGATCCGGCATCTGTACAGCCACCAAATAGTTTGTACCTTGCGGCTTCCCTCCCCCGCAGCCGCCGTTGGCTTCCCCGGGCAACGCTGTGACCGCTGTGATGTGTATTACATTACTGCCGGTGTCACTGTACACAGTCTCCGGCTCTTAGAGCCAGGAGATGAAGCTGGGGAAGCAGATCTTTGCTTCCTCAGCTTCTTTGGGGTCCTTAGCTGACATTAGGGGTCTGAAAGACCCTTGATGTCTCCATAAAGAGGACCTGTCACACCCTATCTGCTATTACATAGGGTGCTTGTTAGTCCCTATGTAATAGCAATAGGGATCATGTAAAAAAAAAAAAGTGTTTTAAAAATTATAAAAATGAAAGTAACATATAAGAAAAAAATGCAAAAACGAATTGTTTAAGTCCCCCACCCCCCACGTGCACGCACATTAACACGGAAACATGCGTTGGTGCGCCCATGTGCGAAAACGACAATTGGGCTACACATGTTACATATCGCTGCGAACGTTGGAGTGAGAACAATAACTCTAGGCCCATCAATCACTGTTAGCACTAAACTGATGAGCGGCAAAAGTGTTTAAAATGTTCCCTATGGGCAATTTGGGGTATTTATTTTTTTTGCGCCTTCACGGGCGAACGCAATTTTAAGGCTTGACATGTTTGGTATCTATTTACCTGGCGTGACCCCTGTCTTTCTTATTTTACCCAAAAATTGGTTATTATATTATGTTTCTGTGCACTAAATTGTATTTAGTTTTTTTTTTCCTAAAAATACTGGTTTGATAAACATTTGCGCAAAAACCGTGCGGCATAAAAAATTGCAACTAGCATTTTTTTATTCTACAGGGCCTCTGCTTTCAGAACATATCTAATTGTTTGGGGGTTTGAAGCTGTTTTCTAGCCAAAAATGTATATTTTATCATGTGTGCGCAAATAGTAAGAAAATGCCCCGGACGGCAAGTGGTTAAAAAGATGGGATGCCTTGCTTTGCATCACGTCTGCTGAAGAACATGTGACCTTAAGTTTAAATTGTCACTTGGGTGTTTAAATTATCACTAAAAAGCTGTATGTTATATGTGGGGGGCTGCTACAAAGTATAAATATCTTTCCTTGCAGCATTACAGCTCCTACACATAAGACTTGGCTTTCAGATGGTGCCTTGTAAAAGGGATTCTTTGATTGCAGGAGAGATAATGTCACATCCCGACTCCTTCTCCAATCACAGAAAGCCTTGTATTATGTGAGAAAAATACAAGGCATTTTGTTAATGAGCAAGTAGTGAAGAGTGGTGGGTATATGACTGGAGCACTTTATTGCTTGAGTTGCATCCCTCACTCCCCACACCGCCTCGAAGCTGAGTGTTATGTGTAGGAACCGGCATGCTGCAAGGCAAGATTATTGTAAATAATGGCCCCCAATGTAAATCTATCATCGTTCACATAATCCACAAATGTAAATCCATTGTCAAACACAGCCCGGTGATGCTTTCCTGCTTCACGCCTATTGCAAATGACAGAATACCTGGAGCTTCCCTAATGTAAACAAAGCATAGAGACTCCTGGGTGACATTAAACTTGGTTTGACCCAAACCCAAATCTCATCTGTACTCCTTATTTCTTGCTTAGCACCTTACAAACAGACAAGGGGTGAGATTCTCCCTTGCTTCCTAGTCTGTCTCACCCACCCCCCAAATAGACAGAACATAAGGGGAAATCTCCCACATGGCACAGACAACAATAAAAAAAAAAACATTAACAAGGGTTCTGAACCTTCCCTACTCTATCCAAAACAAAACAAATGGGTTTTGACTTGAATTCCGCATTGCTCTTTATTTTCAGTTCTCTTTGCAGTATTTTAAAATATTTTTTTTTTTAATGTAATGCAAAGTGTTAGTAAAGAGATGAAAAATCTACTAATCAAAATACTACATTTTTACAATATGTCGGAATAGAGTAAGGTCACCTTATTCAAAAATGAGCTCTGCAAACCCTTTGAACAGGGTAGTCCTGGGTTGTTTGTTATAATCTGTAGTCTTTTTATTCTCAACAACATTGTTTTAAGTAATAAATAGAAGCATGATCAGGGTTACGCAAGGATAGAGAATGGATACAGAAAGGAAAAGGGAGTGGAAAGAAAAAGCATAAACACTCAACACAAAGGTAAATTATATACAAATAACTCTTTGAGCGCCCAGGGACATAGTGTATTTGTCTGCATTGTGTCATAGAAAACTTGATACAGTGTAATAATACTAAAAGGTACATGCTAACATCAACCATGTGCAAACAGTCTATTCTGAATAACCAAACCTGAACAATGTCTAGTGCTATTTAAATAATTTCTTCATTGAGGAAAGATTTTTTCACTTAGTTGACTTCCTGACTAATAACTGTGAAGAGCACCGGAGTCTATTCTCCCTAAACAGAAACGGCTGATGAGCTAAAATAATAGCCTCCTCGTCTCCGATGTTTAATGTAGCTATGGCACTTCCTGTGAATGTATATCTTTATACATCACATTGCGACACCATCATATCAAAATTATGTTTCCCAGATGACGTGATGCTGGATTCAGGTCATGTGACATGGAACCAGATCCTCATGAGATCTGTCCATTAATATTTAGAAATAAATTTAGGTTTGTAAACCCAATCGCTAAAATTCCCTATAAGTGTTAACATGCTAATCTAACTTCAACAGATATTTTCATCGTTTTTAAATCTGCAGTTTTTAATAAAACCATACCTGGTGATCCTGCCGTAGAGGTTCTTGTTCAGGCATTTCCCTATTATAGTGTATTAACTACACTCTGTCTCTGCCTCCTAATTGTGTTTCTGCATTGTCACCCTGTCACACGTGCTTCTGATGAAGACTACACACGACATTTTAACATACATTAAGCAGAGAAGTTTAAATGTTATCACGATAAGGAAACCCACCAAGAGAAATTCCATGCAGCCATAGATGAAGCGTATGTAGACAGACAGTGATTACAAACAGGCTGCAGGAGTTTTTAGTTGTAAGATGCAACAAAGGATGAAAAAAAATCAATTGATGCTTTAGCAACCTAAATGCCATTCAGTTTGGGATTACATTTACTTTAATGCCCTTACATATGCTTCTCCAACAAATGCCCCTCTAATTGTTTAAAGTGGAAATAAACTTTGAATTGAATGAATTTAGAGCACATCAGCATATCCCTTTGCTCTGCTTAGGTCCACATCTATTTTTTTGTTTCTTTTCTAGAGTATATCACAGTTGGCTGCACAACTGACTTCATAGAAATTTCAAGGACTTGTAAAAATCTGCTAAGTCCTGTTTCATATCAGCAATAAAACAGCAAAGTAAATATGATTTGCCACAAAAAGCCCAGTTAATGAGGATCCCCAGTTGAAATTATTTGTGGGAAAAAAAAAAAACTGTTTTCCCATAATAACTTGCTGGAAAGGATTTTGTGTATTTTTCATCTTAATTCTCACGCTCGCTATGGATGATCCAAGCTATGATCTAATGCTTTTAGGCAGGAACAAAACAAATCCTTCATTGACTTTTCTTCACTGTCTAATGGCTTTTGATACAGTATAAAATAACTTCCCATTATCAGATTGTTAAATTCGAGGAATGTTTAGTGAAAACATATTTCAGGGGATTTTGAAATGTGTATTATTTGTACTAATATTAAATTGGCAAACAGTAAAATTACACTTCGTTTAAACTTTCAGCCTTTTTAAAACTTAGTCTTGTTTAAAAGCAGGTACTATAACCTGAAAACCTTATTTTGTGTTCTCTTCCGATCCCGGGGGAGCTCTTTAAGTCTGGGCTTGCGTTCTGCGTTCCTGGAGATAAGTCCAAATTTAAGAAATATTCACCAGCACACGAAAGCATATTCTGTCAATTGTTCTTTATTGACAAAAGAAAGGTATGTCACAATGTGTAGCTCAATAACAACAATTGACAGAATATGCTTTGGTGTGCTGGTGACTATTTTCTTAATTTTGTACTTTATTTGTAGTGGCACCCGCAGTCATTACAGCACCCTCCCAAAATTTTGGGTTGTATCCGGTCAGGAGTGCAATGGGATTCCATTAAGTTTGCCTGGAGATAAGGTCACCTGCTGCCCTACTATCCAGTGAGCACACTATTATTGCTGGTGTGGTGCTCTTATCATAGCTCTCTTGTACTAAATCCTGCCTGCCCACAATTCCAATTTCCAAAAAGGGCATTGTTACTGGTCATGACATAGTAAGTCACAGGGTGTGCAGAGAAGTTGGTTAATTAAGCCCATAGTATCAGCATGCTTCCGGAACTAAAGGAGCACACAGAGGAGGTTAATGGAGGTAATAGCAGACACAAAAATGTTGGCACCTTTACTTTAAAGCTGCAATATTTATCCTTAATATTAGGGATGCACAGATACTTTTCGAGTACCAGTGCCGATACTTGGCATTTTCATGAGAACTACCAGAGTTTCAGCGGTTGCAGCTGGGACCTGGTTTTGGCGCTCCACCAGTGTCCTGAAATCATTAGTTGATATTATTTTAGAAAAACTGTCATATGACAATAAACAAAAATGTATCAGTACTCGTACTTGCCAAAATTGGTATCGGTGCATCCCTTTATTTATATTTATAAAAACAAAATCATACATTAAAACAGAGATGTAAAAATCCCAGGAGCTCCGTGTGCTCCTTACAAATGACA